TAGAATTAGTTTGTCCTTGAAGGTATAGTAGAATTCACCAGTGAAACTATCTGGGTCTGTGGGTTTCTTTCTGGGAAAGGTTTTTACAGTAAATTCAATTTATTTATTAGATATAGGGTTACTCCGATTTTCTGTTTCTTCTTGTGTCAACTTTGGTAAGGTGTATTTTTCAATAAATTTATCCATTTCATATAACATCGAAGTTTTGGGTCTTGGTTTGCTCGTAGTAGTCTCTTATTAGCCCTCTAATGTCTATAGGATGTGTGATGATGATTCCTTTATCGATGATGGTATTGGTGATTTGCGTTCTCACTCTTTTGTCCTTGACTAGACTCCAAGGTTGTCAATTTTGTTGATCCTTTGAAAGAAGCAGTTTTTGCTTTGTTAATTTCCTTTACTGTTTTCTTCTTTATTAATTTCTGCTCTTGTCTAGATTATTTACTTCCTTCTACATATTTTGGGTTTTCTTATTTCCCTTATGATGTCATCTTTGACTCATGAATTATCTATAAGTTTTAAATTCCAGATATTTGGGGTTTTCCTAAACATCTTATTGTTATTGATTCTAAATATAATTCTGTTGTTGTTAGAGAATACTGTGTGTGATTCAATCCATGGAAATATATTGTTTTATGACTCAGCATTTATCTATTTTGGTGAATGTATCTCATACACTTGAAAAGAATGTACATTCTGCAGTTAGATGGAATGCAGTATATTTGTCAATTATATCAAGGTGATAGTGTTATTCAGATCTATGTTTTCACTGATTTTTTTTTTTTGTCTGGTTGGTCTATAATTACTGAAATACGGGTGCTAAAACCTCCTACTATGATTGTGGAATTGTTTCTTTCTCCGTTTAATTCTGTTAAGTTTTGCTTCGTGCATTTTTAGATTCTGTTATTAGGTGCCTATGCATTTATGATTTTTATTTCTTCCTAATGAATTTTTACCAATCTTAAATACCCCACTTTATCCCTGGTAATACTCTTTATTATGAAGTCTATTTGATCAATCTATTAATATTCATCCCAGCTTTCTTATGTTCATATGCTATATCTCTTTTCATCCATTTATTTTCAGCTTTTTTATACCTTTGTGTTTAAAGAGTGTTTCTTATAGGCAGTATATAGTTGAGTCTTGCTTTTTTATCTACTTTCTCAGTTGCTACCTTCTAACTGGAGTTAAATTAACATTTAATTATTGATATAGCTGAATTTAGGTCTATTTCTTTGTTTGTTTATCCACTATTTCCCCTTTATTGACTTCTTTTGATTATTAATATGTCTTAGTATTCCATTTTGACTTAGCTATTGACTTTTTGGCTATATCTCTTTTTATTATTTTGTTAGTGGTTGTCTAGGGATTATAATACACTTATCTAACATTTCACATTCTATTGCACCACTTCATGTATGATACAGAAAACTTGCTGCCATGTAGCTCCCTTTAACTCCCTACAGTTATCATATGAATACATGTTCATATGTTACAGTTGTCATATGAATTATTCTGTACACATTGAAGCCTCTCCAGACAATGTTATAATTTTTGCTTTAAACACATATATGTATTTTTAAAAATTTAAGAGGAAAAAATAGTCTTATGTATTTTCTCAGATATTTACTATATACCATTCCTGAAAATTCAATTTTGTGTGTCATGATTGCCCTGCAAATTGAAGAACTTCCTTTATCATTTCTTCTGAAGCACGTCTTTGGACGATGAATCCTATTAGTTTCCCTTTATATGAAATGTCTTTATTTCACTTTTATTCCTGAAATATATTTTCACTGAATATGGAATATCTGATAATTTCTACATCTAGGTCATTGCCAAGTTGGCACCTGTTGATTGTTTTCTCTTGAGAATGGGTCACATTCTCCTAGTTCTTTTTATTTTGAGTAGTTTGGGATTATATCCTGGACAAAGCGAATGTTATGTTGTATAGACTTTGTGTTCTGTGAGAATCCTCTGGAAATTTTTTTTTTTTTTAAGCAGGCAATCAACCCGATTAAGTCCAGTCTATGCGTTCTGGCTCACCTCCTCTGGGAAGTGATTCAAGTCTCAGCTCATTTCTTTAAGCCTTTGCTCTGCTGGTTTAGAACTGTCCCCCACATCCAGAGTACAGATGGTGTAGGCTAAGACTTGTGCAAGTTTATGCACAGAATTAGAGGATCCCATTCTCGGGCTCCTCCCCCTAGAACCTCCCCACAAGTCTGTAGGAACTCCTTTGTGGGAAGATGGGAGAGTTTCCATCAGAGCTTCAGTCATCTGCACCAGGCCACTTCACGACTGGGGCCCAACCTCATGGCAGAGATGGGAGACAGAAAAAACAAAAATCTGGAAATTCACCCTCATGCTTGATCTTCTCAAGTTTTGACTCCCCATGCAATTTTCCTGCTTTTGTTTTTATTTCAGGGACCTCAAGGAATTGTTTTATTTTTTTCCCCCAGAGGTTATAGTTATAGTCAGCAGGAGAGACGCCTATATAGGGGGCTCCTTACATTGCCATAAAGGAACTAGAACTCCTACATAATTTTTAAAACCTGTAAAGCGGGCAAGATTAAAACAATGCAATGTGGAGATACATAAATATGTGATAAAGCTACTTTTCAGTAAAAGCAAGAGAATGATAAGCATGACATTCAGGTGGTGGCCTCCTCTGGCGGGGGGCAGGTGAGGGAGTGGCAGAGAGGAGGGCACAGGTAGCTTCAGCAGTGTTGGTAAATTCATAAGCTGGGGGGTGGGTTCGTGGGAGTTCGTGTGATTATGATGCTTCATAACCTAAATAGTTTACATATTCTCTTCTATGTATCAAAGTGAACTAATTTAAAAATAAAGAATTTTAATAGTTTGTATAGTTTAAAGTCTTTGGCTACCTATTGTTCAACCGTCCTCGGGAAGGTTTCTACCAACTGTGAGGCTCATTGGGGAAAAAAATCTTTCTTTCTTAAATATGTTTAAAGCTCACTTATCTCGAAAGAATAATAACAACTCTTCAACAACAACAACAAAAAGACAAGAAAATTTCTTAGTATATATTAAAGTTATTCCTAAGAGCATCTGTACACACACCTACACATATTGATTTTCTCCATTTCCAAAGATAATCCAGACAGGGAATTTCCATGTGGAAGACCAACACATGTGGGTGGTCTTATCTGTGGGATGAATGCCCTTACCCTGTGTCCAGGCAGAAGGAGGTTAGGTAATCCACCCATGTATTCTTATAACTATCCTTTTCTGAGTGGGAGAAATGCAAGAAACATTAGGACAAGATTTTTAGAGTCAGAGAAATAAACAATTCAGATCTTTCTATAAGGTTTTATGATGTAAATCTCTTCCCACATATTTTCTCATTTTATTTTTCAACAAAGTATCATTGTGCCCATTTCACAGAAGAGAAAGCTGAGATGCCGAGTGCTTAGAAAACTTCCTCGGGATCGTATAGCTAATGAAGGCCTGAATGACGACTTGACTCAGGATATTCTGAAGTCATTTAACTTTTATGCATCTTTTCCATATAGTAATAAGAGTTTTCCAATAAAAAGACTTGCTGGTTATATATGTGTAAACTTAAATAACTTTCCTTATTGAAGGACTTCTTGGAGTCTTTTGCGAATCTCCATAAGGACCGTTGATATGAAATATTTCCAAAAAAATTTGACCTCATAATCTGTTATTTATGGAGCATTTCATGAGGCTTCTGTTCCACAGAAATACTTGAGAAGAGCTGATATGTGACGTTCATTCCACCAACACTCACAAGAATTCTATGGAATACCTACTGTCTGCCAGGTCTGGTATGAGGTGCTGGCAGACCAAAGATGCTACTGTCTAAGTATCTCAGATCTTTCAGCCATGAAGGGGCCCTCCTCGTCTTTCGATTCATTTGAATAATGTTTACATGCTTGGGACCGTTAGGTGCTGCCTGTCATTTTCCCTCTTGTTCACTAAAATGCTCCACCATTCTCTGAGGTCCTTGTTGATATGCCCCCAATTCCGCTTTGATCTGTGCTCCTTAAACTCATTTATAGAAACCCTAGCCCGCGATGTGACTGTGTCTGGAAAAAGGGCCTTTAAAGAAGTAATTAAGGTTAAATGAGGTCATAAGGGTGGGACTCTAATCCAATAGGACTGTGGCCTTCTAAGAAAGAGATCTCTATCTTTCTTTCTCTCTCTGCCATGTGAGGACACAGTGAGAAGATGGCCATCTGTAAGCCAGGAAAAGAGTCCTCACCAGAACCCGACCATGCTGGCCTCCAACTTACTCCACAGTCCTTTACACAGATCTGATCACGACCCACCTTTTCAATGGCCCTGCAGGGCTTGCAAGGTGTAAAACACTTCACAGTCTAGCTTTCCAGCCGAACTTCCTGGCCATTTCTGCAATACTCCCTGTGCCCAGCCCCCACCAGTTCTCCACCTGGCAAATTCTTCTTCCTTCAAGGCCCAGTTCAAATGTCACCTCCTGTAGGAGAATCATCCCAGACTCTCCTCAGCAGTTCTCATAGCTCCTCTTCTTTATATCCAATGGACTTTGTACGTACACGTTTTTAATTAGATAGTTTCTGTTGAATGATAGCTGGTCGTTAGAATAGCTAATCTATCTTTCACACTTGATAACGAGCTCCTAGGGGGTAAAGATCATGTCGTACTTGTCTTTGGATTGCCGGCATTCAGAAAAGTGCCTGGCACAAGGTCAGTCCTCAATAAATGTTCATTAATGTACAAATACCCCCACGGCCTCTCGTGCACATAAGAGCATACTAAGGAGCTGTTCAGTGCAAGGATGGAAAACTGAGCTGGGAGGAGGGATGCTTGAATTCTAGTCTGGCTTGCCCACCCATTGGCTGTGTCACCAGGGGTGGCACTGATCTGCATCTCAATCCCCTCATTTGCAAAGGGGGGACATCTAAACGCCCTTCCAGGGCTCACATCCAATGATGCAAAGGACTTGATAGCTTGTCTCTAAAAATCTCTATTTTTCTTCCCAGAAAGAAAAGACCTTAGACGTTTTCCAGGGAGAGTCATGGCACACAGCCAGGAGCCTCTAGCCAGGACCCCCGTTGTCAAGTTCAAGGGCCAGGACTTTAACTCCTTGCGGGATCATTGCCTCAGCAGAGGCCTGCTGTTTGAGGATGAGACCTTCCCTGCCAAGACTTCTTCCATAGGTCTGCAGCTGCTCCAGGGACGAAACCTCTTCAGCCTGAAGTGGAAGCGGCCAAAGGTGAGTGAGCCCCCTAGGAGCACACCCCGCTCCTGGGCCCTCTGAGCTGCCTGCCGTGGTGCCTCCCACTGAAAGAAGGATGGGCCTGAGACCTGGTTTTCAGAGATAGCCCAAACCAAACTGGAAGGAGAATGAAATTCATCTGGTCCCTCACAGCTACCATCTTGTATCCTCAATGGGATTGAAAGACCCTGTACCAGGAAACAGGACCCCTGGGTTCTAACCCAGTTCTAACAGTACATCACTAGATTACATGACTCAGTATTCTCATCTGAAAAACGGGAAACCTTGGGCATGAAGATTGTAGCAGATGGTCTCTAGGGTCTCCTCCATCTCCATAATTGAACCCTTCTATCAGTCTTTGTCACTCTTTATTCTCCTCAGGTATCAGTCTTTATCTTCTTTTCTCTTTCCCTGTTAGAATTTACTCAAACAGAAGATATCATTTCAGTCACTTATACAATAGGATGAATTTAAATAATTGCTTCATTTCTCTCATGTTTGGATTTTCAATCTTGTAAAGGCTTGATTCCTAGAGAAGAATTTCAGACATCAGCTGTAAAATTAAGGCAATATCACAGGGCAACATTCACACCCCCCTGACACCCCCACCCCAGGAGATCGCCACTCACTCCACCTGCAGCAAGGTGAGCCCTGTTGGTTTCTCCAGAACTACCTCAGTGTCAGAACATGAAGCTCCAAGGGAGATTTCTCAGCACACTCAGCATCCTATAATCTCGTCAGGGCTTCTGTTGACGCAAAGGACCCCGATAAGCACCGCTTTGAGGGCCCTGATGCCCAAATCTCCTGTTCCTGCTTCCAAAAGCAGCCAGCAGAACCCAGAACAGGAAAAAATTATATAATGTCTAGTAAGTTCATGATGACAGTATTGTCAAGTGTCGCTGAGCACAGACTAAATGCCAAGCATCTACTGAGCACTTTCAATAAAGCCAGGTCAGGTTACGCAGAAAAGGTATTTTCTGATGACATAGGACAATACATAGAACTCTGGAGGGGCCAACTCTTGCCCTGGCTTGTGACAGATTTGTAGCCTTGGGGAAAGGGAGGGTTATTGGAGATCAGATGGGGCTTGGGGTGCTATTTGAAGAAAGATGAGCATGCCTCAGCCTTCTAGGGTCCATCTCACCAGCCAGAGACAAGTCCCCAACGATGACCCTCTTCTTCTGGCCTCCACCTCCTAAGGGCGGCTGAACAAGAGAACTCTATTTAAAGTTTGGAAAAGAGTTATATTTTTTTTGCCTTTGTTATTTTGAGAAGCTGAGATCCTTTTAGAAAGTGTTTTTTTTTCTCCCCACAAGGTGGTAAGCAATAGATGTGAGACCGTATTTATAGTGTTGAAGAATTTATAACATTTCTACTTAGAAAGAGTTGAGAGTTTCTTATCTTAATTCCAGCAACATCTCAACTTGTGATGTCTTTTGGGGTCAAGGAGAAACTAAGGCAAACAGAAGTGAACTGACTTACATAGAATCATGCCAGGAACCTGAAGTGGAAACAGCCAGAGGCCAAATAAGTTTTACTCTCATTCCTCTTCTCATCCAGAAGCTTCTCATCCCACACTCTACCAGGGGTCACTTTTCATTCCAGCACTTCTTTTAAAATGAATATGTAGATATGTCATGTTTCTTTGTGTCCCTTATCACTATTGGTAGCACTTACATTTGCTTCTCTCTCTTCTCTCTCTCTCTCTCCCTCTCCCCCACCCCTTCTTTTCCCTACCCCATTCTTCTTCTCCTCCTTTCTTCTAACAGTTCACCTAGTCCATTTGCTGCTGAAACTTTGTTTTCAGTAGAAGCTCCTTCTACTATTTCATTCAGCTTTTCTTGGTTTAAAGAATTTCCACCCGACCCCACACACCCCAGACTCCGCCCATCAGCAGGCAATCAGGCTCTGCAACAGCCTGTGACTGTGCAGTGGAGCAAATGGCCCTAATGCGACCCAACTCCTCATCAGCCTCAATGCTTCCTACACCCCCAGTCTCAGCAAGAGACAAGGCTGAGAATTACACTGATACATGGAGTATCTATGTGACATTTCCCTGAACTAAATTTGGTACTTAGAGTGACTTTCCTTTAGAATTTTTATTTCATGGTTAATAATAATAAATTGTATCTATCAAGTGTATACACGTGCTAGGTATTAATCTAAGCACTTTACATGCAGCATTTCATTTACTTACCATAACGCTCCTGTGAGGTAGATAATAGGATTATCCTCATTCAATAGATCAGCACTGTCCAATAGAACTTTCTGTGATGATGGAAAGGTTCTTCCTGCACTGTTCAGTACAGCAGCCACTAGTCACATGTGGCTACTGAGCACTTGGAATGTGGCAAGTGTGACTGAGGGATTGAAATTTTAATTTTATTTAACTTAAATTTAAGTAGCCAGCATGGCTTGTGGCTACCATATTGGAGAGCACAGAATTGTAGATGTATGTCTTCATAGCACAGTCACCAATGTGTCACATTGAAGGACTGAAATTTCATCTTTGTCCCCATTCTTTAGTGAGAAACATTTCACTGCTCAACTGAAGAATGGCCTGTGGGCCTAAAATATGTTGTCTGATGGGTGTTTAATGCTCGGCCCCCAGCCCCACTGTGGATTCTGGCCTGTGGCCATCCCAGAATGAAGCATTGCCTATTCAGACAACAACTTTATCTTCCAAGTAGCCAGAACAGAGTTTCTGGAAGGATGATTCACTAGACATGATTTGCCTTGGGACCAAAAGGAGTTCTTCAGAAAAGGGAAGGCTTAACTAAGTGGAGATATGAGTGTAGGTGGTGAAGGCAAGAGATGAGAAGATAACAGAGAGTAAACATGCCACAACCAATTGCCATTGAGCTAAAGAACTTTGATGCCAATAAAGCAAACTTCTCTAGCAAAAATAGAAAAAGGAAGTGACACTGCCTCCTCGCCCAGCCTGAACTCTGGCCACCCTCTGAAAGCGCCTGTGTCTGAATACTAAGATGCTAAAGCTGGTGCTCCTCATCCAAGAACAGCACGCCATCTGGGGAAGTGCATGAGCAGCCTTTGAAAAGAATGCAGGAATCGCTGCTGAAAATATACAAAGTGATGTCACATTGGAAGAGACACCTCCAGATACAATTACAAGAGAGTCCCGGGTTTGCTACCACTTCAGAAAGAGTAGTTTCTAAGATTCCAGGAGCTTTTGCATTACATGAGCTTCTGGCATACCTAATATGACAGAGATTGCTCCAAACTCCATTGAGGAAGGGCTCCACAATCCCAAACTAATTTACTAAGATTACTTAGTTTGACTATGGCTGATGGCTTCTGTGTTAGTCAGGGTTCTCTAGAGAAACAGAGCCAGTAGGATATATATCTATATCCTAAGGATATGTTTATGATAAGGAATTGGCTCACATGATTATGGAGGCTGAGAAGTCCTCAGTCTCAGGTGTGCAAGCTGGAGACCCAGGAAAGCTAGTGGTTTAGTTCAGTCAAAGTGGGAAGGCCTGAGAACCACGCGTGGAGTGCTGGTGGTATAATTCCCAGTGCAAAGGCAGGAGACTGATGTCCCAGCTCAGCAGTCAGGCAGAGAAGGGGGAATTCTCCCTTTCTCTATTATTTTTTCTATCTGGGCCCTCAATGGATTGATAATGCTGATCCACATTGGGGAGGGCACTCCACTTTACTGAGCCTACCAATTCAAATGCTGATCTCATCTGGAGACACTCTTACGAACACACCTAGAAAGAATGTTCAGCCAAATACCTGGACTCCCCATGATCTGGTCAAGTTGACACATAAAATTAACCATCACAACGTCCTTCTGTACAAATGGATGATTCAGAGCCCTCCAAGGGCCAGTCCGTCTCACAGAATCAGAAAACATTGAGGTCGAGAAGACCCTGCCTGCTGGTATGGTCCATGGAGAAGAGCTAAGCACCACGGAGCCTGACTGTCTGATTCATAGTCTGCTTCCTGTGGGACCTGGAACAAATCACTCAACTGCTCTGAACCTGTACCCCTGCCCTTGCTGGGCCTCAGCATCATCTGAGGAGCTCTGAAAATCCTGAGCTCTATGCCTGGCTGACATACTAAAACCAAGTTGTGGGAGGTAGGACCCAGCAGTCTCCATGTCTGGGGAGCTCCCGGGTGGTTCTGAGTCACACTCAGGGCGGTGACTGCTCGCTGCCAGTCTTATCACACTTACTTCATTGCTCCTGGTGTGCCTGGCCCACCTGGTGTCAGGACCTGCCCAGATCTAGAGTGTTTCCATCTTCCCAGCCATCTTTACCTATTTCTTCTCTGTGCCTTGTCTCAGGAAGTCAGCCTAGCCGACTAAAATGCTTCTGGCTATAATCTCTGTCTCTTCCTACCTTTGCTTTTTTTAGATCATCCAACACCCCTCTAAAGCCCAGGGTGGGGAGATAACAGGCAGCGTAGAGAACAGAGACATAGATGCTGGTTTTGTGCCCAATTTTGAAGCAAACAATAGCAGTGTTTGCCCACAAAATTATTGTTATTGATTTTTTATTTGAAATGATTGCCATTTAATTTGCGTAACAATCAAATATCTTTTTGTTCCTGAATTAGCTAAAATTTTTGTTTTTTAATTTTATTTTAGTAAACCAGAGAAAGTTGTATATTTGTCAAATGCTTTCATAGCATTTATTGGAAGGATATAAATTGTTTCTCCTTTAGAACATGTAAATGTTATTTTATGTTATTAAACGTCCTGACGTGAAACCGTTCTGGCATCCTGCTTGTTGATGGCAAACCTTACTTGATAGCGGGTTAGTCTAATAATTTATTATTGATTCATTTGCTGAGTGGATATAAAAATATTTAGGTGTATTTCCATAAGTGAAATCAGTGTGTAGTGTGTGTAAGTGTATTTGTGTGTTTTTTCTCTCAGGTTGGGCATCCACGCTATGCTAGGTTCTCAAAATAAATGGTAGCAGGATTCTTCTTTTTTTTTTTTCTTTTTTTTAAACTCCAAAACTGTAAGTTACACCAGAATTGTCTATGCCCTGAAAGTTTGAGGAAACACAGGGGGAAAATCATGTGTACTTAGAAGCCTTTACAGAAATATTAGAGAGATATTCTTTGATCACTTTAAAATAGTGTTCCAAGGTTATTGATCTTTTGGGGTTATTTACTAATTTGAATCATTTTGGGCCATGTTAATTTTTATCAGAAAATCATCAGTGTTTTTTTAAGTGATTAGTATGGAATTTTACATCATGTTTTTATATTGCTAAAACCTCATTTCTATTTCTAATTTTATTTGGGTTTCTCTACCGTACTTGCCAAAGCTTGGGTCTATCTATAACTTCTCCCCTAAATAGAATTTTATTGATTTTGCTGTTTTTTCTATTTTATGATTCACTAATTGTTCTCTCTATTGCTCCCTTCCACGTATGTTTGCAAGGCTCTTTTTGTCTTTTTCTTTCTAACGTCTGTGAGTTGATTGCCCAATTCATGTTTTTATTCTATCTTGTTTAAATAATGAATGCATTGAGGCTCTGGGTTTGTCTATGATATGGCCTTTTTAATTTTGCAATTACTATAGAAGAAAGGAATCAATATTTATTGAACATGTACCCTGCCCAATGCTGCACTAAGTATTTCATATCCTTCCTCATTTGTAAAATGGAGAGACTCCTGCTTTGCGAGGCTGTTGGGAGACGCCCGTGGAGAAGGCGCCTGGCCCTCAGCGAGGGCTTGGTAAGGGCAGCCAGCGCTTCCAAGGCTTTTACATCTGATTCTCCCAACTGCCCTCCAATTTGTATTAATGCTCCCATTTTACACAGGAGGAAACCGAGGCTCAGCAAAGGACAGGAAGTTGCTCCAGGTCACCCAGGGGGAAATGTGGGGCAGGACTCCACAGCATGTCTGTCTGAACCACCCTGGAGCACACCCACCCCTCCTCTGTGGATCACTGGAGCGAAGCCAGGAGAAAACAGCAAGGAAGAGCTGAGGCTGTGGGCAGGTCAGAAAGCTGAGCGCAGTCGTCTTCCTTCCAGTCCAAAGGCCAGGCAGACTCCAGCCTCTTTAATTCCTGCTAGAGGAGGATGGTAGGCATCCGTCCACTGACAGTAGGCCTCCTTTGAGACGTTTACTTCCTTTTGCCATTGGAAGGAAAGGGACAGTTAGAGCCATTGAAATGCCCCACGTTGTTTTGAAATGGAGAGAGTTGCTCCCTCCAGGGCCCTGCTCTCCACAGCGTGCCCCTCAGAGGGTGCTGCCCTGCTTGCTTGTGTCGAGAGACCTCCAAGTTCTGCCCAGCCATGGGTATGGCAGAGAGTCAGGTTGGGGCCGCCCCAGGGTCCCCCTCACCCCGGGAGGACCTGGGCCTGAGGGCACTTCTCCTGGCCATCTGAGAGGGCCAACTGTTTGCAGAGCAGGCGGTAGGAGGAGGCTCAGGGGGTGAGGAATATAGCACACATGCAAGCTGGGCCCTCAGTGTGATAGGGACCCTCACATGAATGCACGTGAGCTGGGCCCACACCTTTGTTTGCTTCTTAGTGGCTCCATCAGGAAACTGGCTGTCTACGAAGGGCCGGCAGGTCGCACAAGGCACAGGGCTCTGTATATTCATGGCTGCTGAGCAAATGAATGCATTCTCACTTTGCAGCCCTGCTCTCTGGGAACTTAATTATCAATGTGAAAAGAAACAAAATAGGAACAATGACCAAATTATGCAAACACATACAACGGAAAGCCAGGAAGAGCTGCACAGAGAGGATGCTGGGGATAATCCTGTGGGCTCTGAGGAGGGGGCAAACCTAGAGGACTGGTGCGGCTGGGGCAGGAGCCAGGCCCTTGGCCCAATGTTCCCCTAAAGAGCCTGGGGAGCCCCCCCAGGAACTCTCACAATCCCCAGGTCTGCTGAGAGTTTCCACCATTCTCCCCAGACATTGCCGCCCTGCCGTATCCTCTAGCGAGCCCCTCTCTGTGGCTAGCAGGCATTACGCGTTTTAGAGGCTGGGGAAGGACTAGGTACAGAGTTACAGCATCTGAGACAAGGGGCCTGGGGTCTTCCAGAGTCAGTGTGTAAGTTAGCCAGGGTGTGGGCAAAGATCTGAGTCATACGCATCCTGTATCCTGTACAGCATGTGGCTGGACTTGAACCCAGAGCCCGGAATGTCTACGCTGACTTCTGAGAGATGACAATTCACAGAGAAAGCTCTATTATGTTTATAAAAGCTTCCTCCTAATAAATCTATCCTATTCATTTTTTTTTTTTTTTGGTTGTTCATAACCTCTTGAAACACTGCTCATTGGGACCAGGAGGGCTGACTCTGTGATGTAAGGATCCTGAGCCTTTATTTATATTCTCTCTGCATGCAGTTTGCTTATGCCTTTATTGCCTCTCTTGTCAGTTACATATACACCCAAGTGACATCTGCCTTCCTGATAGCAATAAAACCTGAGGAATGAGGAGAACTTTCCTAACTCAGATTTTAAGCACCTGTTTAAGAATTAACCTTTACCCCTCAAAGATAAAGTTAGTGATGTCTTGGGTACCACAGTGGGACATAGAGGAATGAAAGATGCTCATAGCTTTTCTCCATCTTTCTTAAGGATTTATCAAAGGGGATATCAGAGCCTCACTTCATCCTGGAAGGTGCAAGCAGATTTGACATCCAACAAGGACAGGCAGGTAAGAATTCACCCCTCCTGGCCCTGGATCAGGGCAGCCTCCAAGCAGGGAATGTGGAAGGTGGTGTCCACCCAGACCCACAGAGTTCTGTCCCAGCTGAGGAGGCAAGGCCAGCACCCTCAGTGCTGCTGTGGACGGACTGCCCACGCCCTGTCCCACAGCCTGCAAGTCGGCTCAGAAATGGATGTGCAGAGCCATTTGGCATAAGGAATTATTGAAGAAAGGGAGAAAATGGACACAGGGTTTAGTCTGAGCTCTGAGCAGAGAGACGCATCAGCTGCTGGAAGATGGGAAGGAAAGAGAGACCGAGAAAAGGGAAGCAAACATTTATTGAGCTTCTGCAATGGCTGTGCCAGATACTTTGCGTGTGCTGTTATTTCACGTATGTCTTGAAACATCCCCATTCTGTGAAAATGAAGGGAAATGAAGGGTCCAAGAGATGAAATAATTTCCTTAACTTCACATAAGCAGTAAGTGACAGAGTTGGGTTTGAATCCAGGGCTGTTAGACTCCTTCCCACCTGCCAGCCAGCCACGGGACAGAGTTGTTGCTAAGAGCTGAGCAGTGTGGGCAGGGAAGTGGACACCTGCCTTGAAGGAGGCCCCTGGGCAGTATCAGGTATGGCCAAGTGAAACCCCTGAACAAGAGATGGGTGGGACTGGCTGGGAGGGGAAAGTGGACAGGCAGTTGAGAGACACAGCCAAGTAAGACAGCAACTCTTCTGAGAACAGAAAAGCCCCCACCAGCCAATAATCCTCCTATTAGGGTTCCAGCTAACTGGAGGAAGAAACTCTCTGTGAGTGTCTTTGTGGCTTCTGCACCCAGCACAGCGTCTGACACGAGGTGGCATTCAAATAATTGATAGTGTTGAAGGTGAAGCAGGGAAGACTCAAGAGAAGGGGGTGAGAATGCTCAAAAGGGCTCACAACGATGTCCAAGGAGAAACCTAAGGCCACATGTCCCTCAAAGGGGAAGAGGAGAGAACCCCTGTGTGGGCTGGAGAGGCCCTGACTTGGGTAGGGGCTGAGCAAATATTAGCAAAGAGAAACATAGTCAGTTTTCCCCAGTTGTAGAGAGTGCCAGTGCCCCTGATGCTGGCAGCAAAATTCACTGTAACTTTAGCTCTGGGACCCCCCCCCCCCCGGCAAAATGAGAATCAGAAGGCAAGTTGGCTCACCAGCTCTGCCCAGGCCCAGCTGGGGCTCTCTGACCTCCCTCACCACCATCACCTCTCTCGTTACCACCCTCATCACCCCATCTTCACCACCAGCCCCACCCTCACCCCTATCGTCACCACTACCCCTCATCAACCCCCCACTTTCATCACCACCCCCACCATCCACACCACCCCCGTCACTATCACCCTCACCATGACCACCAGCTCCTTCTCTGTCTTGCCTGGAACTGATCTCAGTGAATCCTGTGCCCAAACAGAAAAATAAGGTGTTATTCAGAAGAAGGTGTGCAGACTTTGGTGAGAAAGACCTGTGAAAAGCATGGAATGGGGCTTCCAAGTGTGTCCAATAGACCTCTCATGGCTTATGTCCTCTCACAGGAGATTGCTGGTTCCTGGCAGCACTGGGCTCCTTGACACAGAACCCACAGCATCTACAGAGGATCCTGATGGACCAAAGCTTTTCACACCCGTATGCAGGAATTTTCCGTTTTCGGGTACGTGTACCACTAGGCCGCTCCTTACCTGGGGTTCTCTGTGAGCACAGGGACGCAAGTGTCTTGAATATTCTTGTGCCCTGGCAGCCTGAGATGGAAGAGTCAGTTATCTGCTAGTTACTCGCATACCTCCAAAAACGGATTTGAGCTCACGATCCGACAACGTATAGGAAAGATGAGAGTTAAAATGTTTTTGTGTAAATAAAAAGAAGTGGCAGAAACAATTGGCAAAAAAAAAGTCATTGATCAAGAACCCTACACATCACTGAGCTTTTGTCGATGTCTGTTGCTGTGCCATATCTTGCTATTTTGATTACAGTAACTTTAGAGTAAGTTGCAACAGCTGGTAGGATAAGTTCTCCTTCATTATTCATTATTCTTTCCTCAAAAATATCTCGGTAATTCTCGCACATTTATTCTTCAATGAGAATTTTAAAATCATTGTGTCAATTAAAAAGAAAAGCCACTGTGATGAGGAGCGGAGCAGCATTAAATTTATGTATTAATTTGGAAAAAATACATTTTTATTATTTAAATTATTGCTTTTCAGAAACAGTATATCTTTCCACTTATTCAGAACTAATTTTATTCAGAACAATAAAATGCTGCAGTTATGCTTTCAGATTGGTGTTATGCCCTCAAATATTTTACAGTTTTGTAGCTGGTGTGAGTGAGATTTTTCCCTCATTTCTAAGTAGGTGTGGTTAACCTGCCTCCTTAGCACAGTAGGTCGAAAGTCAGTCTCCAAATCTCAGTAGATGTTGCTGAAAAGAGGAAAACTACTCCTTACTATATATTAAATTGTATCTAGCCACCTGACCAAATTCCTTTACTAGTTCTAATTTTTTTCATTAGGAGAGTTTGGATTTTTTTTAGTTATCTAATATTATCTACAAATAAAGATAGTTTTATCTCTTCTTTGTTTTCTGGTGAGCAAGATTGGCCCTGAGCTAACATCTGTTGTCAGTCTTCCTCTTTTCACTTGAAGAAGATTTGCCTTGAGCTAACAACTGCGCGAATCTTCCTCTGTTTTTTGTATATGGGATGCTGCCACAGCATGGCTTGATCAGTGGTGTGTAGGTCTGTGCCCAGGATCCAAACCCACAAACCCTGGTCCACCAAAGCGGGCTGCAGAGCCGTCGCCTATGGATTTTTTAACTGGGTTGTTAGTTTCTTTGTTGTTGAGACATATGTGTTCTTTGTATATTTTGGATATTAACCCCTTATCTGATACATGGTTTGCAAATATCTTCTCCCACTTGTTAGGTTGTCTTTTCGTTTTGTTGATGGTTTCCTTTGTTGTTCAGGAGCTTTTTAGTTTGAATGTAGTCCCATTTGTTTATTTTTTCTATTGGTTCCCTTGCCTGGTCAGACATAGTACTTGAAAATACGCTGCTAAGACCAATGTCAAAGAGCAGACTGCCTGTTTTCTTCTAGAGGTTTCATGGTTTCAGGTCTTATGCTCAAGTCTTTAACCCATTTTGAGTTAATTTTTGTGTATGGTGTCAGATAATGGTCTACTTTCATTCTTGTGCAGGTGGCTGTCTAGTTTTCCCAGCACCATTTATTGAAGAGACTCTCCTTTCTCCATTGTATGGTCTTGGCATGAAAATTAGCTGTCCATGAATGTGTGGGTTTACTTCTGAGCTCTTGATTCTGTTCCATTGATCTGTGTGTCTGTTTTTGTGCCAGTACCATGCTGTTTGGTTACTATAGCTTTGTAGTATATTTTGAAATCAGAGGTGTGATACCTCCAGCTTTGTTCTTTTTTCTCAGAATTCCTTTGGCTATTCGGAGTCTTTAGTTATTCCACTTAAATTTTAGGGTTCTTTGTTCTATTTCTGTGAAAAATGTTGTTGGAATGTTCTAAAGGATTGCACTGAATCTGGAGGTTGCTTTAGGAAGTATGGACATTTTGACTATGTTAATTCTTCCAATCCAAGAGCAGAGTATCTTTCCATTGCTTTGTGTCTTCAATTTCTTTCAACAATGTTTTATAGTTTTCAGTGTACAGATCTTTCACCACTTTGGTTAAGTTTATTCCTAGATATTTTATTCTTTTTTGTTGCAATTGTAAATGGGATTGTATTCTCAGTTTCTCTTTCTGCTGCTTGGTTCTTAGTGTACAGAAACACAAATGACTTGTGTATGTTGATTTTGTATCCTGCAACTTGACCATATTCATTTATTATTTCTAAAAGTTTTTTATTTTTTTATTATTTTTTATTGTTTATTACTTCTAAAAGTTTTTTGGTGGATTCTTTAGGGTTTTCTATCTATGAAATCATGTCATCTGCAAATAGTGACAGTTTCACTTCTTCCTTTCCAAATTGGATCCCTTTTATTTCTTTTCCTTGCCTGATTGCTCTGGCTAGGACTTCCAATACTATGTTAAATGAGTGGTGACAGTGGGTATCCTTGTCTGGTTCTTGTTCTTAGAGGGATAGCTTTCAGTTTTTCTCCACTGAGAATGATATTAGCTGTGGGTTTGCCATATATGGCCTTTGTTATGTTGAGGTACTTTCCTTATATACCCATTTTATTCAGAGTTTTTATATTAAATGGATGCTGTATCTTGTCAAATGCTTTCTCTGCATCTATTGAGATGATCATGTGATTTTTATTCTTCATTTTGTTAATGTGTTGTATCATGTTGATTGATTTGTGGATGTTAAACCATTCCTACATCCCTGGAATAAATCCTGCTTCATCATGTTGTATGATCTTTTTAATATATTGCTGTATTCAATTTGCTGGTATTTTGTTGAGGATTTTTGGATCCACGTTCATCAGTGATATGGGCCTTCAATTTTCTTTTTTTGTGTTGTCTTTGTCTGGTTTTCATATCAGGGTAATGTTGGCTTCATAGAATGAGTTCAGAAGCTTCTCCTCCTCTTCAATTTTTTGTAATAGTTTGAGGAGGATAGGTATTAAATCTTCTTTGAATGTTTGGTAGAATTCACCAAGGAAACAGTCTGGTCCTGGACTTTTATTTTTGGGGAGGTCTTTGATTACTGTTTCAATCTCCTTACTGGTGATTGATCTATTCAAATTCTTTATTTTTTCTTGATTCAGTTTTAGAAGGTTGTATGATTCTAAGTATTTATTCATTTCCTCTAGATTATCCAATATGTTGGCATATAGCTTTTTGTAGTATTCTCTTATAATCTTTTGTATTTCTGAGGTGTCCATTGTAATTTGTCCTCTTTCACTTCTGGTTTTATTTATTTGACCCTCTCTCTTTTTTTCATGGTCAGTCCAGCTAAGGGTTTGCCAATTTTGTTTATCTTTTCAAAGAACTAGCTCTTGGTTTCATTGATTTTTTTTCTATTGTTCTTTTAGTTTCTATTTCATTTATTTCTGCTCTGATTTTTATTATTTCCTTCCTTCTACTAATTTTGGGCTTTTTTTGTTCTTCTTTTTCCATTTCCTTTAGGTGCACTGTTAGATTTTTTATTTGAGATTTTTCTTGCTTGTCAAGGTAGGCCTGTATTGCTATAAACTTCCCTCTTAGAACCACTTTTGCTGTATCCCATAAATTTCAGCATGTTGTATTTTCATTTTCATTTGTCTCCAGGTATATTTTTATTTCTCCTTTCATTTCTTTATTGCCCCAATCGTTGTTCAGTAGCATTTTGTTTAATCTACAAGTATTTGTGGCTTTTCTGATTTTCTTCTATAGTTGATTTCTAGTTTGATACCATTGTGGTCAGAAAAGATGCTTGGTATTATTTCAGTCTTATTAAATTTATTGAGACTTGTTTTGTGCCCTAATATGTGTCAATCCTGGAGAATGTTCCATGTGAATTTGAAAAAAATGTATATTCTGCAGTTTTTGGATGGAATGTTCTGTGTATTTCTACTAAGTCCATCTGGTCTATTGCATCATTTAAGGCCAATGTTTCCTTATTGATCTTCTGTTTGGATGAGCTATCCATATGTGTAAGTGGAGTGTTAAAGTCCCCTACTATTATTGTGTTACTGTCTATTTCTCCTTTTATGTCTGTTAATAATGCTTTCTTTATTTAGGTGCTCCTATGTGGGGTGCATAGATATTTACAAGTGTTATATCATCTTGTCAAATTGTTCCCTTTATCATTATGTGAGCTTGTCTTTGTCTCTTGTTACAAACTTTGTTTTAAAGTCTATTTTGTCTGAGATAAGTATTGCTACCCCAGCTTTCTTTTCTTTGCCATTTGCATGGAGTATCTTTTTCCATCCCTTCACTTTCAGTTTGTGAGTGTCTTTAGGTCTGAAGTGTCTCTTCTATGCAGCGTATATATGGGTCTTGTTTTTTTAATCCAATCAGCTGCCCTATGCCTTTTGATTGGAGCATTTAGTCCATTGACATTTAAAGTAGCTATTGATAAGTATGTACTTATTGCCATTTTGTTATTTTTTTCTGGGTGTTTTAGTAGTTCTTCTCTGTTCCTTTCTTCTTCTCTTGCTCCCTGCCCTTGTGGTTTAATGGCTTTCTTTAGTATTATGTGTAAGTTCCTTTCTCTTAATTTTTTCTGTATTATTATAGGTTTCTGGTTTGTGAGTACCATGAGGTTCATATATAATAAGCTACATATATAGCAATCTATATTAAGTTGATGGTCTCTTTAGTTTGACCTCTCTCTAAAAGCTCTACTGCTTTGCTCCCTTCCTCCCATATTTTATATTTTTGATATCATATCTAAACTCTTTGTGTGTGTGTGTGTGTGTGTATCCATTACCCTCTTATCACAGAAATAAGTAATTTTTAGTACTTTTGTCTTTGACCTTCATATTATCTTCAGAGGTGGTTGATCTGCTACCTTTACTGTATTTTTGCCTTACCAGTGATTTTTATTACATTTTTTGGTAGTTTTCTTATTACTATTTGTGGTCTTCTCTTTCCAACTTAAATAAATCCCTTTAGCATTTCTTGTAAGACTGGTTCTTGTTAATAAACTCCTTTAATTTTTGCTTGTTTGGGAAACTCTGTATCTCTCCTTCCATTCTGAAGGATAACC